TAAATGTTATACACCTCTGAATCTTAATCAGGAAAATATACAAGAAATTGATGAAAAACAATATTACCACGACAAATGCAATAGATGGAGTAGAAAGGAGCTTCACGGTCGACACCCCAGTGATCTCAACCAACCATTTATAGATAGGGAAGCTTCAAATAAGTGGCTAGATTACGCAGGATTGTTTCCCGAAACGGAAGGTTTTATAATTGCAATACAGGATCAAGTTATCAACACACGGAACTACAGAAAATACATAATTAAAGATAGAACACTACAATCAGATATATGCCGCAAATGTCTTAATAAGCTTGAAACCATTCAACATATAACAGGAACTTGCACAACTTTAACCCAAAACGACTACACCCACCGTCATAACCAATTAGCTAACATATTACATCAAAAACTTGCAATCAAACACGACCTCATCAAAGATAGAACCACACCATACTACAAATACAACCCTCAACATGTGCTGGAAAGTCCAACTCATAAACTGTACTTTGACCCCACCATTCTTACTGATCACACAATCCACAATAACCGCCCAGACATCACGCTCGTAGACAAAATAAGTAAACATGCATACATCATAGACATAGGTGTCCCAAACACAAACAACATACAATCAATCATCACCGAAAAAATAAGAAAATACACCGAATTACAGGAAGAGATAAGAAGAGTCTGGAAATTGGACAGAGTTTCTATAGTACCTATAATCTTATCCACTACGGGCGTTATACCTAAAGCCTTGCATAACTCTCTTAAATTACTAGACCTACCTAAACACACATACATAACTTTACAAAAAGCTGCCATACTTAACACGTGCCGCATCGTTCGAAAATTTCTTCAACTTAGCTCTGATAACGAATATTCATCCCCACAATTTAGGTTACCAACCACCCAAATTTAAGTTAACACTTGGTTAAAACCCGTGTTAACTTAATATCACCAGGTCATACCTGAGAGAAATAAATGAACCACATAATAATAATAATTTTTGCTGAGCTGGAGCCGTCTATAACCGTCACTGAGATAAACCTGGCAGACCGAGTTCGGTACATCACGCGTTCGAAAATATTTGATGCTGCCGAACTCGAACGACTTGGACGTGAGGCTGTTCCCTCATCGGACGAAAATGCAGTGGCTGGAAATGCGAGTGAGCCGCAAGCTGCGGATTCCGCGGGGTTACAAGCGGAAGCGGAAGCCGCGTTTTACCCCCCCGGCTCCTGTAGATTTTTTCGATGATGGAATAGTCGCCCAAGATATAGAGCAGATGAGAAGCCTATTGGAGGAGGCAATTCTGGAGGTGCGCGAAACGCCTCTCGAGAATCGACCACGTCTCCCCCGCATACCCCTGAGTAAGCGGAGTCGGTCTGTCGTGAGGTCTCTTAACCCGATGCTGGCAACCTATTTGGAAGCTAGCCGGGACCTCTGCGATACGGACTCAATTCTCTTTGGCGCTGCACTGGCAGTATGCCGAATCGTTGGCGCCAAACTTCCCAAGGCTGGACGTGCTACCAGACCAGGTAGCACTATCCCAGCATGGAGAAGAAGAATTGAGGACCGTATCGCAAAGGTAAGGGCCATCATCGGCAGGCTGATAAGCTTCAGGTCGGGCAATAGTAGGCCCAGAATTGTGGGCACCGTTAGGATGGCGTTCGCTGGGACCAACATCGACTTGTCCCAGCCGGATATTACGCAAAAACTAACGGAGCGCATAGATGACCTGAAGCAGAGGATCGCTGCTTGGGGGAAGCGGATTCAGAGATATACCGAGAGGACGGCGCGGTTTAGCCAGAATCACCTCTTCCAGAGTGACCAAAAGAGGCTCTACAAATCTTTGGAGCGACCAATGAGCTGTGGAACGGGCCAAGGACCAGACCAGGCCGGCACTGTTGCCTTCTGGCGCAGCCTGTGGTCAGAGCCCGTAGACCACAGCGAGGGCCCTTGGACGCAAGTCGTGGCGAGCCAATGCGCAGATATCACACCCATGGACCCCGTCGTCATAACACCCGATGACGTATCTGAGGCAGTCTGTAGAGCCCCGAACTGGAAAAGTCCGGGGCTTGACGGGCTGCATCACTACTGGCTGAAGGGGTTCGTGGTGTGTCATGCTGTGCTCGCCCGACAGTTCCAAGAAGCTCTCGATCAGAGGTCGCTCCCGAGCCTCTTTACTACTGGGGTCACTCATTTGGTTCCTAAAGATCACGTTACCACAGACCTGAGTAAGAACCGCCCCATTACGTGTCTACCCACCATCTATAAGACACTGACATCTATTCTGAGCATGAGAATCACCCGGTATATTAATGTGAATCGGATTATGTCTCATGCTCAGAATGGATGTCGGGGCGGCGGTCGTGGAACCAAGGAACCGCTTCTCATCGACGCGGTCATTGGCAAAATGGTTAAGCGCAACCGTCGGAACTTCTCCGCCGCCTGGATAGACTACAAAAAGGCATTCGACTCGGTGCCCCATACATGGCTAAAGAGGGTCCTCGAACTGTACAAAGTAGACTGTACAGTAAGAGACTTCCTCGAGCACTGTATGGGGCAATGGAGTACGATCCTTTGTCATCTAGGCGAGCGGATGACGGCTGCGGAATACCGGATAAGGATACGACGGGGTATTTTCCAGGGCGACTGTTTGAGTCCAATATGGTTTTGCCTCTCCCTGAATCCTCTCAGCGTGTTACGGAGAGGAGGGTCAATAGTGACCCACCTTTTCTACATGGATGACCTCAAATTATTCGCCTCCAATCGCTCCCATTTGATGGAATTGCTTAAAGTCACTTGTGATTTCAGCAATTCTATCAAAATGGAGCTTGGGACGGATAAGTGTGCGGTGCTCCATGTCGAAAGGGGTAAGGTCGCTAACACGGAGATGTGTATCGATGAGGCTGGCATGAAACAGTCAGTTCGTGACGTGTTTTTTGCACGCCTGACAAAGGTGTTTAATAGCCATTTGTCAGGCGGGAACAAGGCACGTGCTTTTAACGGCTAGGTCATGCCAGTCCTCATGTATACCTTTGGCATACTCAGGTGGACTCAAACTGAGCTCAACGCCCTGGACCGAAAAGTCCGCACAACTATGACGTCCCACAGAATGCATCATCCGAGATCGTCAGTGATGAGGCTGTACCTTCCGCGGAAGCATGGCGGGAGGGGCTTTTTAAGCGCCCTCACCATGCACAATCGCGAGGTGTGCAGCCTCCGTAACTACTTTCTGGCGAGATCGGATGAGTCAATCTACACGGACGTCATTAGTTGTGATAAAGGACTTACCCCTCTATCCTTAGCCAACGAGCAATGGCAGGACCCGGGAGTACTGAGCGTTTCCGACCAAAAATTCAGATGATATAAAGTGTTCAGTTATGCATATAATATCAACGTGCTGTTTTATTTTAACAGATATATCCTCTAAGTGTAAGGTTAACAAATCACTTTTATTTAAGAGACCGGCAATATTTTGGTGCAGTATGTATAAAAATCTATAGTCTTAGATATCCACAAGGGAAGTAGCGGGTTATTCCCACTACAAGTGTCCATGACAACTTACTGGGAAAACTCGGCAAGAAGTTGTTACGAAGATTATGGAAATAAAAGAATTTTTTTTTATTTTTTATTTTTTACGTGTCGTATACGTGTTCCCGATGCTTTTTTTACAAACGGAATAGGGAAACTAACTGAGCCAAAGCCTAACTTTGAACATTTTAATGTTTTGTTAAAACACAACGGTGAGTAAATCCGAAGAAATATATTTATGTTACAGTGCACCGGCGTCGCTGGATGGGAGTAATAGTCATAGAGTACCTATTCGAATTTACGTTTTTTGTTTGGATTAAAATGAGTCCCATATTTTAATGCTATACAAAAGCCCTTAGTATAAGCCCGTATAAACGTAAAAGTAAGCGGTGACTCTATCACATCGACATATTGTGAACTCCGTAACTGACACACTTTCATGACACGACATTGCATGTGTGTCGTTCACGCGTTTTTTTTATGTTTAATTAAATAATACCCAATGTGATAAAGTCTCTGGATTACATTTTCTCCGAATAATTTGGTATTATTCATATGTCAAGAACCACTGGGTATACAATAATTTAACTTAGTATCTCCAAAATTATTTTAGCTTAGTATCTCCAACAGGGACACCAGGAAATGGATTCTGTGTCATGCTCTACGCAAAGGTTGCAACCTATTAACTATTAAAATACAATACTGCGATATAAATATTGCACATCGACCTTGGAAAATGACAATCGGTTAGTTTCACTTTCGTAGAGTTATCTCTGTTATACCTCTTTTTCTTGACGTAGGGAAAATACCTGCTTGCGGGGGTAAGGGCGGGCATAACGGATTCTCACCACTCGTAAGGAGAACGGTGTATTGCTATACCAATAGTCCTCTCCCCCGCGGTCCCAACTGTACTGTACCAACGATGCAGCCAGGGTGCGTCCAGGGATAGAAGGAGTAAAAAGAAGAAATACCAGCACTTTCCTGCGTGACTCCACCTCAGTTGCAGAGAGCATGTAGAGTTGTTCCACCTCTACCACCCTCGACCTCCCCCACACCTTTATCCTGAGTCTGCTTATTGAGGCCACTCGGAGCGGCCCTCTCAGCTTAGCTTTACACTACAGGCCAGCCCAGTGTAAGTTACGACGCACCGACGAGGTGGGAACCCAGACGGAGGGGTCTCAAACTACGTGCCGGACTGTTAGTGAATCGTAGTATCGACGCAGATAACGTTTGGCACAAATCTGAAATTAGGTGTCTCTTTCCCAACACGTAACATTTATCGCCGAGTACTGCAGTTTAAACTTTATTTTAATGCCAGCAGTGACCCAGAAACTGGGAATGTCGACAGTTTAATGGCGATTTAAATCCATATTTTTGAGAACTTATCCGAAGTGGGTCGTCGCCCCATTGCAGTCTATTTTTAATTCGCACACAAATGGCGACGACGTGTTTACTGTACCTTATTTGCCGCGGCAACCGTAATGGCGTCGGCATAGAACGCGACCCGTTATTGTTCCCTCGTCGTCCGTTTTCGGCGCGGGGCCCTCGTCAATCATTTTTGGACGAACGCCGAGGGAAAATAACTGGAAAAATAACAAAAAAAACGCACGCGCAAATCGACATTCAATCCCGCGATATGTCCGGATAAATAACAAAGCAAAACTCTCTGCACTCCGCATAAGTGAATCGAAAACAAAACAAATGCTCGTTCTAGTCTCGCGAAAATAACTGGACGATTTAATACTTGAGAAGGTGGATTCTGTTAGCCCAAACTTCGATTTACCTTAAGCTTTAATGGTTTATTGAGTTATTTTTTTGTAATTAACTCCGATTTCATCGTGTATCAGCTAAAACTGTTTATTTTAATTAATATTTTCTTTCATTTTCACACGTTTTCATATTCACAGACCCGACAGAGGATTGGCAAACTTCAAATATTTACGAAGTATTTTTGATTATTACTTCTAAAATATGGTGCTTGCACCACCAGCTTTTCCTTCACACATGGGCCCGTGATAAATATGCATATAAAATCGCAATTAACAATTTCATTGCCGGATCCAGGAGCAACTGGCGTTGCTCGAGTGGACTGCATTAAAAGCAGACGTCACGACAGTGATGGCCTATTTTGATAGATCAGGTGGCAATTTGGCGAGCGGCTCACCATTCAATGTTTTCTGGTGAGAAACCCTATTCATAATTCGCGAGGTTTCGACAAACGAAAGGACCCATTAATCCCGCCACAGTTGAATGGCGAATCCAAAGCCTCACGAGCCAAACAAGGCCGCGTCCTTGGCTCGTCATAGTACCCTCCATTAGCAGTTGCCAGCGTGCCATTAATCATTCCTGTTCGAATAGCGACGTTGCTAAGTGTGGGAGTCGGCTAAATCGCCGTGCCATTTATTTCGGCTCAATCGAATGGCCTTCGCTAAAGCAGGCCTCGAAGAAATTCGCCCGATCAAAAGTACTGCTAAATTATTGTTTTTTTATTCGAAAAGTCTGCAAGTGAGCTAGCGGTTCAACTGATGTTAAGTAATAACTGCCGCTTATTCACAGCTGTCTACCATAGCACCTGATGGGTTGCAGATGCGTTGCTATAGTAAGAAAGTGGGCCACCGTTGCCTTACTTACATGACAAAACGCGAAAGTACGAGTATAATACTTCCACTTCACTCCGGTCTTCTGTGAGTTGGTGGTATACCCCGGTCGAGTCTCCCCATTCGTACCCCAGCAGAAATTGCTGTGTGGCCATACCATAGTAGACATTTTGACCGTACACTCGTCAATAATTGGCGATTTTATGGTAGAAGTATGAACCAACCCGATCAGAAAGCTTTCAACCATCAAACTGATTTGATGACTCCTTGGCGCAGTTTCCAAGGTATCGGCTTCGGCGTCGGGGGTCGTGGGTTCGATTCCCACACGGGACAACTATTTGTGTGACCCACAGAAAGTTGTTCCGCATCTGGATGTTTGTCCGCGTGAAATTTGTAATTGTAAAACGTCCTTACACAGGATAATGCTATCCCAAAGAAAGGGCAATGGTTTTTTTAAAGCAAAGCAGACTTTCTTACCAGGCCGTGGTATGTTTTCAAGTTGTATTTAGCGTTCCTACGCATAATACATGGTCGGCTCAGTCCAGTGGAATTCAACGTGACCATTATTAACAGCTCCCGCGCCACAGATCCTGGTATGGCCATTTGCGAGTGTCGTTTAAACGTATGACAAATTAAGTGTAAGCTCACCGAGCAACACCGAGCGATATGTCACTATTAACTGCGCGATGTCCTGATTTATTACGGCACCGCTCGACTGCTGAGCGTATTCGGAAAATCGGTTTACCGGATAATCCGTTAAAGTCAATTATCGCTAACGATTTTTTTGTACGATTATGACTACGTAAACGAGTATAACACCTCTAATCTATGCCGTTGTAAGAAGCTCTAATAATGATGATTGTTGAACTCTAGTCTATTATAGTAACCGTAGATTCGCAGTGTATAATTCATCAGAAATATCTACTACGTTCCCAGGCTTAAAAACATATATTGAAATTAATTAGCACTGTAATAGCGCCACGTCAGCTTCCTTGGGTTGCAACAGCGTTGTTGCACTAATGGGCAGGTCAATCCGGGTAAGTACCACGACCTCACAGAAGACCGGCGTGGAGTAGAAATGTTACACTTCTGCCTTTCGTCTGGTGAGTGAGGCAGCCGGGGCTCACTTCATTAAAAGGTGGCAACACATTTGCAACCCAATGGGTGTTGCAAAAGTCAATGGGCTGCGGTTACTGTTAACATTAGGTGAACCGCTAGCTCGTTTACCACTTTCTCAATGATACGAAAAAAAAGTTTACACTGGATTTGATACCAGTACATCACTCTGAGGTCTTGGGTTCAATTTTATTATATTTTACATACTTTTTTTTTGGTAAATAAATCCATATTATAATGAGCACCCAAACACTGAAAAAACATTATGTTCATCACACAATACTTATCCTATTCTTAAAGTTATTATCTAAACGTTTTAGGAATTGAAGAACCGTTTTACATCCATGTAATAATTAAATTCCAGACTATAATTACGAAATTCACTTCTCACAAGTACTGCTCTCATACTCTAACTACTCTTCATTTAATTGAACCAGTTCTCTTAGTTTTAAATTTTCTCCCTGCGCTGTTTTTTTTTTCTATTAAAACGTCTATTAAAAGGCGCTCCCATATTCACTGGCCAGTAATGGGTACGTCGCTATCCATAATGGATTTCCCTCGCTTTTCCTTCCGCGATGGTAAAATGTTATAGCAATCCGGATAATTCGCTTCACCGGTCCATATTTTCTTTGCTTGATCTCATCCGAAGCCTATATGTAATAGGATTTATGTGATTTAAAACTTTTCCCTATAGGCATAAATAAGTAGAAACAAGTTTTTACTTTAACTGGTATGGAATTGGGCATTAATAGACAAATTTCCCTACCAACATGAATTTCACGGTTCTGTGTAAATCCATGTAAATTTTTCGGTTATAATCAAGTTTACGTTTCGTTCAAACGTTCTGATCTGAGTGTTGCTTCTCAAGGAGGGTTGACGTCAGGTGGGTCGTAAAAAATCTAGCCAGTAACATTTAACAAAACATGATTCAACATGTTTTAGCACAAAAGATAAAACTAAAACTTTCGGGGCTGCGGGATTCAAAGCTGGGTCTTCTTTTTTCGCGCCCAGACCCCAATAAGAGTAGGAGAAAGAAGAAGATTACCATCTTATCAGATCCAACCTAACCTACACCATAAAACATAGGCATTCTATAACTGCCATGACGCGCATCATAAGTTATCTACTAATCCTCTGCAAACTTGCGCTGGTCCATTTTGTATACTGTCTGACTTTTAACCGAACCTCCTTTCTGTTACTAAATGAAAGAAATTATCTTCCTTTCGATTCATAAAAATCGTACTCGCAAAATAGCCAATATTCGACATAAAGCCATGATAGGGTGGATTTTGAATTCAGCTACGACATAATACCCGTTACTAAAGCTTGTTGGGTTTGCTTTCAAGGCGCGTCCTTGGGCACCGAATGATGTCCTCAAAAGGGCGTTTGTGCTTTTGATTAATGGATTGTCTGCGAACTATAAAGCTTCAAACATTGATGACCTTGCACCATTAGGTTAATGAAATTTGGTATGAATTTTATTAATATCTCGCTTATTTTGTCTTTTCATTGGAAAAGTCAATTGATGTGATGAATTACGTGGCCTTAGGAATATCCGACTATTTTTTTTTAGAATGATTTAAATGTTGTATGACGTTATTTTCTTAGCTCGATGAATGGGCGGCACGGCTGGCTTCGACGTCGCGGATCGTGGGTTCGGTTCCCGCACGAGACAAGTATTTGTGCGGCCCACGGGTAATTATTGTGGAACTGAATGTCTGATTCCCAAGACGGCTTGTGGCCGGTGGTAAAGAACATAGGCAAAACCGCTTGCAAAACGTTTCACATGTTGTCCATGTACATGTCAGCAAACACCTAGTTTTAAAACTTAAGAAATGCGAATTGAAAAATGGGTATCGCTTCCTCTATTTAATTTAGATCTTTTGGGGTGTACTTCAGTGTTTTTTCTCTCTTCATTTTTAAGAAGGGTTTAATCTTTACAGATCATGCCAACCTCATTGTGTTAACCATCATTCCACATCATTCCACATCACTCAGGGGTGACATCTACTGAAATGTAAAACGTGTTTATTCGACCTCACTTTTTCTAAAAAACCTAGCATTGGATTCAAATCAGCTGGACTCACTGTTTTCCGTCACACCTCTTGCAACGTGAACGCTCGTCAGCTTCAATGTTGTGCAGCCGGCGAATTGTTAAACGCAATGCGACGCTTGACAATACAAAGAGTCCTTTGTGGGTGCAACGGTGCGAGCACTTTTTTGCAGTAGATGTGACGTACAAACAGTAGTGTGTATGTATCTCTTTCAGATGTTTTAACAGTGTTTCCACTTGAATTAATTCCCTGTTTCTTCCATATAATGGGTTTTTCAACAAGAACGTTGTTTTCTAAAACAAAGTTCTTGTTGAAAATAAAACAAAGAGTTTAAATGAAGATGTTTCAAATTTTTATTGTATTACGAAGAGAAAAGTTTGGCAATTGTGAATGAAAAATGATATCTGGCAAATGTCCACCACGACCACGCTGACAGATGTCGATTCTTTCATCAAAGTTTTTAATCACTTTTTGGCAAAATGACGGGTCTATTTCGTTAATCACGGATTTTGAGTTTTAAGGCCGCGATCGATTCGATTGGCTCCGTATAGACTCTGTCCTTAACATAGCCCCACAAAAAATAATCCAGTGGCGTTAAATCACACGATCTGGCTGGCCATTTAACAGCTGAATTTCGTGAAATTATGCGATCGGGAAATTTGGTTTGCAATAAATTGATCGTTTCGTTGGCTGTGTGACATGTGGCACCGTCCTGTTGAAACCACATGTTTGTGATATCGATGTCATCAATAAAAGGCCAAAATTGAGATGTTAACATCTCGCGATAGCGTGATCCGTTGACCGTTACTGCATTTCCAGCCTCATTTTCGAAAAAAAAAACGGCCCAATCACGCCTCCAGACCACATACCGCACCATACAGTGACACGTTGAGCATGCAAAGGCTTCTCAATAATCGCTTTAGGATTTTCAGAAGCCCAAATGCGGCAGCTTTGCTTGTTGACGTACCCTGACAAGTGAAAATGGGCTACGTCTGAAAAAATGTTTTTTTCAGAAAAACCAGCGGGCTGTTCCTGAATGAATTGAGCGAATCTACGGCGATGTGAATGGTCGGTCAGCTTCAATTCCTGCACCAGTTGAACCTTGTAAGGCTTCAAAGCCAAATCCTTACGCAAAATTCGCCATGTGGTGGTTTTGGATAACCCCAATTGTTGAGAACGTCGAGGAATTGACAAATTTGGATCTTCTTCGACACTGTGGCTCACGGCTGCGATGTTTTCGGTTCAACGACCCGGTCGAACACGCGTTGGTGTTGGCACATTTTGTACCGAGCCTGTCGATTCAAATTTAGCGACCAAATTCTTAATAGCGGTCTCAGAAGAACGATTATGTTGTCCGAAAATATCACGAATTTTAAGAAACGTAACTTTAACAGGACCACCATTTTCATAGTGGATTTTAATTATTTTAATGCGATTTTCGAGCGAAATTGAATTCATTGTAGCAATTGCCAAAGCATCTACTACGAATAGGTCAAAAAACTAAATGTCAAAACTGTCATGTTGTTGGTGTAGCCCCAATTGAAAAACAAAGTTCTTGTTGAAAAACCCTAAAGTAAAAGTATCACATATATACATATATACATTTCTACGGTGATAGGGCCACGCAGCAGCCTCGGCTGTATGCAGTCGTCTACAGACATCCACAGCACCTGATGGGTTGCAGATGCATTGATAATAATAAAAAAGTGGGCCTTCGTTACCTCACTTACCTTACTTTTACGGTGGTAGGGCCACGCAGCAGCCTCGGCTGTTGCACGATTGGGCAGGCCCGTCCGGGTACCACGACCTCACAGAAGACCAGCGTAAAGTGGAAGTATGACAAATACTTTCGCGTTTCGTCTGGTGAGTGAGGTAGCAGGAGCCCAATTTCCAAAAAGGTTGTCAACGCCTTTGTAACCCTCGGGTGTAGCAGATGTCCATGGGCGGCGGTATTCACTTATCATCAGGTGACCCGTCTGCTCGTTTGGCAACTTTTCGCATAAAAAAAAAAAAACATATAGCATCTTGCGTCTAATGTGTCTATAATAGACTACCTATAATAGGTAATTATATCACATACTATAAAATTGTCTGTCACATTATTATGATCGCACATATACTTTTAATGTTTTAATTAAAGTACAAGAAGGGAATATGGAATCAATAAGATAACATTAATATAGATTTTGATTCTATATAAAATGCCCGATAGTTCTAAATTCTAAGTTCTAGACTATTCAATAAACAGCGTAATTGGCAATAAATTCACAACTTAACGAAGTTATAAAAGCGACAACAGTAAACTGTAAAAGGCTCCTGCAATCTCTTTATTCTATTTAGAAAATACGCTACATCGTTTCTATCAATTTTCAATTCGCTTAAATTTTCTGCAAAAACATTTGTAAACTATAAAAGTTAAGTAACAGCCTGCATATGACCATCTGGGCAAAGAGTATTTACAGATTTCTCAATTCTTCATAATACATTTTTCATTTATCTACAAAAAATTACAATTTAAAAGTTTCATCTTGAGTGCAGAGTTGTACCAAAAAATATGAAATTAATCAATCTTAAAAAAAAATAAGACGACATCTCTAGTCACAAATATTCATCGTTAATGTAAAGCGAAGTTGGCGCCAAGAATTTCTAAAAGTTCAATAGAACGGGCGAAGACAGATGTCAAGATTTTTTTTTGCTCGGCCGCTTAGCCTGTTGGTAAGGCGTCTGGGCGCGAAACCAGAAGACAGCTTTGAATCCCGCAACCCAGAAAGTTCATTATTTCTTTTTTTCGATAATATGCAGAATCCCTCACGGATAGCCGAAAAATAGGCGAACTGCCGGCTAACTAACCTTCTTATTAAAGAGTCTCAATGATTAAATTATTTCTTTAATTATGAACTAAAAAATAGAGGTATGATTAAAATATGAACAACAACATCACAATAAGGCTTATGAAAAGATTCCTTCTTGGGTTTTTATGTGTACGGTGTGAAAGGTGTACAGCTTAAAGGTTGGGTAAACAGTGCACCTTTCAGCTTATATGGAAAAATATCAATTCTTTTTCATGTAATGCCATTTCGTGTCGTGCATAATTATGGGAGCGATTCTTAGAAACCCACTGTCTTGCACATGCAAACGAGCAATTGAACTTGATGTTGGCCTCGTAAGAATATATTTTTTAAAGGATATTATTACATTGTTAAGGTAACACAATTTGTCCGACTATTAGAAAGAGTGAGAGTGATGATGTTTTTCATAGAATGTTTATATTTTCTTATTGCTGATTTGCTCTGTTGTATAGAATTTTCGCGTAACATTGACTTTACTCGCGATATTTTCCATATTTGTCCAGTTCGAAAGACAGTCGTTTCCAAGAGAACTGTGCAATGAAAATACTGTTTATGATACCGATAAAGTGTTATTTTCGTGCACATTACACAATGTTACTTTATTTAAAACGCGTTCATTTTGTTGTATTTCCATGAATTTCAAGGATTGAGATCTTATAGGCATATTCACTCGATATATTCTTTTTCTCTCGATTCGACTCGTTATATTGATTTTACATTTAATCCAAAAACATGAATGTTTCTTTACTAACACCAGTTCCAAAAATTTCTTGCGGGTTTATTTAAAATGGTTGCTTAATTTGTTTGAATAAAATATGGCAGTAGTGATGTCAACTTAAGTTAATAATATTTTGTAATCTCCCAAGTCCGTTGATAATATCTTTAATACATAAAACGTGTCCGTTATCTTCAAGGTGTTCATGATATTGGCCCCAGCCCGTCATTGACTCGTGATAAAAAAATTCTCAAAAAAAAAAAAACATGTTAGTTTTATTTTTTTGTTTCATATGTTCGGTGTAATGTACTTCTGTCCGAAAGTTTAATTTGGACATACAGCTGAGCATAATACTGACGGCAGGATATCCGGAGGTCGGGCAATGTGTTATTATATATTGTATATATATATATATTTGAAAATTATATATATATATATATATATATTTAAAAAATTGTAAATCGTGTTTGGTATCACAGCATCTTCGGATTAATTACTAATACCTGATAACTCTAAAGCGCGTTCTGTAATATTGACATACATTAAAACTTCATCATAATTTACAGATACATTAAAAGCCGTAGATTTTCCAAGATAGGTTTCAGCAATTTTGTCTATAAAATGGTGCAATGCATATACCGAACAGGGTCACGTCACAAACATATAATTGAGACTTCCACTTAATGCGTAGGTATGCTTTTGCGATTCTCATTGTCTACGAATACTAAAAAGTATGCGTCTTGTCAATCTATTGTAGACAAACAAAATTATCATATAATAATTTTAGTGCAGTGCGATAATTCTCCATTAATTATTAACCTGTATAAAGTTTGATAACTTCTTTCAATTCTTTTAACTTTTTTAGTATTAAAATACTTAACATTTAGTGTAAGTATTATTAATTAAAAATATATTATAGCGATAGCTGATTTGCAACTGTGAAAATAGATGAAAGGAATTATCCTTCACGTGGGTTACAAAATGATATGAAATAGGAATGTAATAGGTACACAATACATTTGCCAATAATTCAGACTTTTTATTATATACACGTTACTTCAACGTTCATATAATTATTAACGTTATTTTGAGGTTCAATAGGGGCTTCTGCGTTGAATCCTTGCATCTAAAGTGGCTGAGACTGACTATTTTCTTCTTGTCTAATTCTTTACTAAAGTTGTAAATCGCTTAATTCACTAACAGTCGTTAGATAAGCCCTCTGAGACCGTAGCGTGTGACTGCTTTACGAATAAGTCATTAAAAATAATGTAATAAAATATTGTATCATAAATTTTAAAGTTTTTTATAGTGCTAATCTCTGCACTTAAGATTGAACATTAAAACATGTAGAAAAAGTACGAAAAGATTGTCGCCGCTGTGGGAATCGAACCCACGTCTTCGGCATTCGCGGCCTGACGCTCTAGCCACTGAGCTAAACGGCTGATAACCACAGCGACGAAAATCTTAACTCCTTCTTTCGTTAAGTTAAGATTTTCGCGTCGAGCGTCAGGCCGCGAATGCCGAAGACGTGGGTTCGATTCCCACAGCGGCGACAATCTTTTCGTACTTTTTCTACATGTTTTAATATTGTACAATTATAATTTTCCATATTCAATCATATCATCGATAACACCGTTTAATCGATCATAGTATGTTCGGTCAAGATTAAGTGTAATATCAAACAGGTCGCTTTTATTCAAGTCTGGCTCATAATTTTCTACTGAGAACGTATAAGGCATCATTAATAGCATAATCTGTAGACCGTATTTCAGACAATCATCGTAATCGGCTTCCATCTGCTTTCTTGGATACACTGAATTTATGTCTATCGCGAAATACTGGAGATAGTTTTCCATTGTATCGAAGTATAAATCCTTTAGTGCTTTTAGATGTTTATCTCGGAATTCCTTGTCGGTGGAGCTATAGATTAAATATATGAGGTCGATCATCGGCAATCCATAGTAGAGAAGTTGAAAGTCAACGGGAATAACTTCGTTGATTATTCCGTTCTGAAAATCGGAGAAAAAAAATGATTAAACATGTGGGTGCAGATGCCAAGGTGTTGGCTTCGACGTCGGGGGTCGTGGGTTCGATTTCCACATGAGACAACTATTCAAAAATTATATAAATTTATATATCCTTATAACACAGGATAACATTACCCTACAGTAAGGGCAATGTTTTTTTTTTAATAAAAAATGGCTCCTTTAACACAAAAGTTCAGCACGCAGACATTGAATTTCAATGGTTGACATCGCACCAATTGGGGGCTCCCCGCCATGCGGTATTCATACACCCTAGAGTTGCTTCTCGTTCGGATTGAATTTAATGCCGCCTGGTCCACTTCCCTTATAAATACTAAATCCCCATCAAAGGCTTGGAAATGGAACAGATTCTTCATGTGCATTAAGTAGAAAAACTCCTAAAGAAATTTTACTGAAGTTACAAAAATCTGAAAACTAAGCCTATCAATATGAATATTATTGCTTTGAAAAAAAAAAATTTCTAAGCCTCAACTATTTTCCTAGCATTTGGTGCCAAACATATAAAGAGGTCTAAACAATTTTTGCATCGAGTATACGATTAGTATGTATGAATAAAAAGACTTATAGTTATAAATTTACTTACTGTCGTTTTCATCAATATGTTATTCATCCTGTAATCACCATGACATAGACACTTAATTTTACCTTCATCACTAGCGATGTACTGTTTATAAAGCTCCAAATATTCGGGAAACTTTCCCTCCAACATCCTTTTCCTTCTTTCGTCCAAACCCGATACTGAAAGTTTGAATGTGTTCTCACAGTATTTATTAAAGTCGTCATTAAAAATCTGAGAGGTCTTTAAGCTTTTAATTTTTCTTTTAAAATATTCAGGTCTCTTTTGTTCTATGACAAAACTCAATGCATGGAACCTGGCTAGCTGTTGCACAGATAGTTCAGCAAACTTTAGGGGCATCACACCCATTCTGTATACGGTACTGTAACCCTCTTTAGCAAGATTTTGAAGTATGATGGCATCTGTATTACTTTCTTTGTAAAATTTTACAAGCTTATATCTCTTATCGGGGGGAATTACCGCTTCATTTTCCAACTCTTCGAATATCTTGCTTAATTCTCCATAGACGAATAATTCCTTCCAATATATTTCAGAGACATTCATAATTTTAACGTTATCCTGAGTAATGGCATGTTTTATGAACAAGCTGGTCTCTTCTTCCTTATTATTAACTTTTCCTTTAATGTCAGCCACGTAGAGAACGGCCATATAACTTCCACCAACGGAGATTGTTCTGTTGGTAATATCATAGGTAGCGTAGCCTTCCTTCTCGGCAATATTCTCCAATGTACTTTTAAGTCCATCGGGTAACTTATCACGGTCTAACAAAACTAGTTCTGTCAGATTGAGAACTTCACAAGTGTCTCCAACTTTCATTTTAAAAGCACTGTGGGTTAGTACGATGGATTAAAAGATAAACTAACTCCACATTAAATGTATATTGAGCGAACACTTGGAATGTTACAATTTGTAGTCAGGATCGTAACCGTTATATATATCGCGCGGCGGACGGGCAGCCTAACGGTGTCGCGTACGCAGAATCACTGAGGCCCAGCTAAAAACCGATTGCGGTCGACGTCGCATGAAAGCGCCCGAGCGTTATAAAATAACGGATCAGCTGTTACGTCAGCTATATACGAGCCGCCATAGTACGTTTTTGTGTCTTAATAAAGAGACTAAAATAATGATGCAATAATCCAATGTGGAAAATGTTTGTTCTTATCAGAATCGTAAGGACTATTACACATTTAGGGTAAGGTTATATAAATATCATATCTAGCACTCGTACGTTCATTGTTAAAAGACCATTTTTATAAACTGTACGTTATTAAGTACGAGTCATAAAAATCATCTAATGTCTCTCTCTCGTCAATAAACAGACAGACAGCTTTAATATTATATTTTAATAAAATATTCCTTACAATTAATTAAAGCTGCAGTTTATGACTGAATAAAAACTAATATTTAATTATAACAAAGTTAAGGTAGGATTCCATCTTAAACGTTTTATTTAATTTTATATACAAACGACAGTTTATTAGGTTTTTTTTACAACAAGAGGCATTTCATTGTGAAATGATTATTTTAATATCGGAATAGTAATAATAAATTTATCAGAATTGTATGCTTATCTGTCTTTATGTTTGAGTTTTATATAGGCCAGATTCCATAAATTAATTTCATAAATTATTACTATTGTGGCGTTAAAATATTAAAAATAAGTGATGTTAACATAATATAATAATAGTCATAACATTAATTTTGGTTGCAGATAAAATAAGCCAGAAATAATTAAGTCAAGATTTAATAAACGAATTCTGACTGACCGAAAGTGTTTTATTTCCTTGGATTTTATAAAAAGTAAAGCACATAATGAGGGAGCTCCCTCAAGTTAAAGTAACTACTTAAAATAACAAAAATATTTTAATCATAAGGCGACAAACTCAAACGATATGTGTCTCAAGGGTGTCATAACAGGAGATAAAAGGGAAAGTGCGGCCAGCATATTTCCCACTTACGAGGATGAGAATCACTACATAGTATAAGACAAAGTCGTCCCGCTGTCTTTCTGTCCCTATGTATGCTTAGATCTTTAAAACTACGCAACTAATCTTGATTTTACTAGATAGATTGGTTCACGAGGAAAGTTTATATGTAAAATACATTGCACCCGTTCTAAGCCGGGATTGGTCGCTAGTTACTAATATAATTTGTATATAAAGAGAGCGCCCCGTCTACTCTTATGCTTTTTATTTACGAATAAATACGAGCGAATACCATCAGTACGTAATATTTGTTATTAAAATAATTGAACGAAAATGTATTAAGGCCGTATATTATAATTTTGTTTGAATATTGAATTGCATTAGACGTTTTTCTTTTCTCTAACCGATCGCTATAAATATTTAGAACGTTGGGTAAAACGTTAAAATCAATATGAGCTATATAGGTCAAGCTTCCTTCTCTTGGGTTTGATAAATAAAATGTAAAGGTGATGTTTATAAACATTAAAAAATAAATATTTAAGGCACATTTTTACACAACGTTCTCAAGTCCCAAACTATGCACCGCTTGTACTATGGGTACTAGATAACTGATGAACATACTCAAACATAATTTTCTTTTGTAAATAAATCCATATTATACAGTAAACACTATGTTCATCACACAATACTTTTCCAGCAGCAGAACTTGGGAAACTATACGTTTATATATTTTGTGCTCTCTGTGAAAATTTTTTGCGCAAATATGAAGTTTGACCTTTCATTCTTTGATTTATAATCGTGCTGCGGTAAATGTACTGTAAAATATAAGAATAAATTCTCCTTCCCTTTTCCCCAACAGTACAACGAGGTTTTCCATACAGATTTTATCCTGTCGCGTAATTTGTCGTTTTTTGTGTGCACAGTTAAACGCGGGAAGGGTTTGCAGTTTGCGTCTTGCACCGGAATTTCTAGTAGGTATCTTTGAAACTTCAGTATCGCTTACTAAGTTTGTTATAATTACAATGATTTAATATCCATTAATTGTTCTAAAAACGACTGTAAATAAATAAACAAAAGAAGAAATAAAAGAAAACCATTGAGCACTAACATAAAATATATTATGATAATATCGTATACTTCCTATACTTTTGTTCTGCCGAGTCTTTTTTAATTTATGGAGCCACTACTTAAAACAATAGTTGTTAAAGTTATAGTTAGCTATTGTATTAAATGCATTTTATCTCTTTAAATATAGCTTTATTGATGAGAATTATAGCTGTTGAAACAAACAAGACTCTTATCAAACTATTGTTTTGTTGTCGGTATTACTTCGTTAAATACTCATTTCCGCAATCTAAGGAGATAGTGTAAGGACACTATCACGATATCGTGTGTGTTTAGGTTTATTATTACCTATTGTTTATCATGGAAAAAGTTTGACACAGTAAATTTGGTAAAAAAAACAATAAAACATCTCTTATGTCATTACTTTACTAAAATACTAGCCTCATTCTGTATGCCTTGAATATATTTGAAGTATTTTTTTAAAGATGTACCATTTATATTATTTCGCGGAATCCATTCCTTTATTTTTATTTTTTTAAAACATTGCCCTTACTTTAGGATAACATTATGTTGTGTTGTATTTCACGTGGACAAACACCCAGATGCGAAACAAATATCTGTGGTTTGCACTAGTGATGTGCCGGATCATTAAAATTGTAGATCCGTGGATACGGATCCGGATACGGATCATTGGCGACAATATCCGCGGACACGGAATTTAACTTAATATCCAGTAAAATCTCAATAATAGTATAACCACCGTCCTTGATTTTGTGTCTCATTCGAAGGATAAATTAGATTTTAGTTTTTCAGATTTTTTTACAACCGAAGGTCAAAGGAATGAAAAAAATGCAATTTGCATACAATTTTGAAAAATGAAGTAAATTTAAAATTAAGTAAATCTCACAGCAATTATAAAAAGTAGTAACGACAAACCAATGACTTTTGCCAGAGTCTAGAAGAGTCTATGGCTAACATGTTAGATAGTGATAATGATGATGAATATTAGATACGAGAACTCATTTGCTCATACAGTATTATGTCAGAAAAAAGATTAACAAGAGAGCCACGATCCACTAAAGTATTGGCAGATTAACAGTAAAAAGTTTGGAGGTCTTAGTCAAACGACTTGACGACCTGATTGGCGTAGGGAGTAGGTAGTGAATCCCTGGGTGTGGGTTCGATCCCCACTACTGGAAAAATATTGTGTGGTGAACATAGTGTTTTTTCAGTGTCTGGGTGTCTATAAAGGCCCATTTACATGGTGCCAGTTTCTTGCCTGTTGTATACAATTAAATTGAAGCAATAAATGAGTTGTATGGTCTAAACAACAAATGGTCGAAAACCAGTTATTGCGCGCAATTTATTGCATTCAATTATTGCTCTTGTATGTACAAGAAAATGGCATCGTGTAAATGGGCCTTAAATGTATAATATGTTTTCAGTTTTCTAGTACCCATAGTACAAACGTTGCTTATTTTGGGACTAGAGAACGTAAAAAATGTATCCGAAAATATTTATATTTATATTGCTCGCATTTTCATATTTTATCATGACTTTTGGGTGATACAGCTACCAAGTTTTTCTCTTTTTGAAGTGCAATTTACCGTTCCTTTAATTGTCACTGTGTTTTTAATCAAAAGTTAAAAACATTTTTGGTGTCACAGTGTTATCATTTTATTAGAATTATCATTTTATTACGATTATAGGGAAAACATCCGTCAAAAGGTAACGGATACGGATATGGACACGGACCTTTTTTTTCCGACGGATATCCGCGGATACGGATATGGATATGGATTCGGAACATCACTAGTTTGCACAAATAGTTATTCCGCGTGGGGATCGAACCCACGACCCCAGACACCAAAGCCAATACCTTGGCAACTGCGCCACGGAGTCATCATGGCGCGTTTGCCAAGTTTCCTCTTCTTTACAATGATTTTAAAAACATAACTTTTTTGAGAAGCACTTTTTATGTGAGAAGGCGGCAAGCGAGCTGCCAGTTCACCTGGATAAGATGTATATAATGAATATTTGTAATGGATAATTGAATTTTGGATTTTGTTTTACACCTACGACAAATTTTCACTACTGAGGGCTGACTGGAAGAGAATGCTTTCTATAAACTTATTGCAAGCATTAAACCTTTTGTTTGGTCTTATGTCGGGGTGTAAACAATAAATTTTTAAATAAATAAATATACGGGGAGATTTTTGGAAAAGTACGCAAATTTACGATTTGTTAAATGTATGTAAAATAATATTATACAGTAGTAGTGTAGTATAGTATATAGTAATGAATTCTAAAACTGAGAAATTTGTGTACAAGTATATAAGAAAATATTTGCATTCATTATTGAAGTTGAAACAAACTGGAAATACAAGAGGCAATTAAAACTTAACAGATAGAAATTAAGTAAATAGTGGTTGGTCATTAAGTCCTCTGTGTATTCAAAGATTGTAGAGATAGGCAAGTTTGTAAAATAACTTAAATCTGTCTGTCTCACTTTGCTTATTTGCTACTTATTTACGACTTTTGCTTTGGCTTGTGTTCGGCAGTCCTATCCAGTACACATATACATTAAACTATTATTATTATATTATATACATATATATATATCACCTTAGTAATTCGGGTACAACTCTTGTATTATATAGGATAATTCTCTACTACAGTAAAGATGCTGTTAACAAAAAGAAAGCGAAATTGCCAGCCCAAATCGGGTGACTGTCTAAAATATATTATTCATAAATTTCGAGAACAATCTCTATCGCATAGGAAACGTTTTCCTAAAGCAGGAGTCTTGTTTACGAAAAAGAAAATAAATAAACATTGCCTGCTCATGTCGAGTGACTGTAATCCGAATAAATTGAACGTAAATTTTGAAGAATAGAAATGATTTTGGATTCCTGTTACACTGATCCAGGTGTTTTTAGTACAGTTTTACTTTACAGTTTTATTATATGAATTCCCTGGCTCTGCCCGTTCGTTAAGGTTATTTATCACCCGATTATGAGACGGAAGCCATTAATAATCGAGCTATAAACGCCAAGACCAGAACTTTTTTTAACAGTGTAATTAAATATAATGATTAATTATCATGGGCAGAATTTAACTATTCAGTATGTTCTAGATGTCAGAAGAATTAAAAAAAAATCCGTTTATTAAAGCAGTTTGAGATATTCCTTATTTTTTATGTGAAAAGTTGTTAAGCGAGGAGGCGATTAACATGATGTTAAGTGAATACCGCTGCTAACGGACATCTGCAACTCCTGGGGGATTGTATATGCATCCACGCAATGCTTCACATCACGCCGGTCTTCTGAGGCCGTGGTATTTCCTTTAACGAGCCTGCACATTTGTACAACAGTAGCAGGACATATTTTCGTAGACATATATACGTGGCCCTACCACAAGTCCTTTTTAACCATTTTCATACATACACTTGAGTGAAGAGAGTAATATCTTAAAGAAATTTTAAGACTAATTATTAAATGAACCAAGAACTAATTAACATTCATAAATCTAACAATGTTTCATAGTGAACAGTTTTGCTGAAGTACAACTAATAGCCATATTGGTAAGCATATTTTTTATAGAGATTTATATTCAATTCTTTTCAATCATTTATTTAAGGAGGAAACGAATATAGTGGATGTAAATCATATAAACTTTACGGTGGTAGGGCCACGCAACAGTGTTCGCTGTTGCACGAATGGGCAGGTCCGTCCGGGTTAGTACCACGACCTCACAGAAGACCGGTATAAAGCAGAAGTGTTGCACTTCTGCGTTTCTTCTGGTGAGTGAGGTAGCCGGGGCCCATATTATTAAGAGGTGGCAACGCATCTGCAACCCTACGGGTGTTGCAAATGTCCATGGCCAGACGGTTATCACTTAACATCAGGTGAACCGCCAGTTCGCTCGCCACTTTCTCACATAAAAAAAATACATAAACTTAAATATATAATTATATACAATTCTTTCCTTAAAGGCCGGCAATGCATTTGCGAGCCCTCCGGTGTTGCAGATGTTCATGATGACTTACCATCAGGTGAGCCTCATGCTCGTTGCCCCTTTTTTCCTAAACAAAATGTGTCCTAAAAATGTATTTTCTATAATGATAATTTTTTCAACTTAAATATAGAGAATTAAATACCTAATGATTACCGCTAGTAACGGCTAATCCGGTGTCCCCGAACTCGCTGGCATTTATGAAATGGCTAAAAATCAGATTTAAAGGAGCATGCATTGTTATATCATTTACTAGCTGCTGCCCGCGACTATGTCAGCGTAGGATAGGCTGAAGGCGTAACATTCAGACAAAGATTATAGCCTATGTGTTATTCTGATGTATAAGCTATATTATTGTAAAGTTTCATTAAAATCCCTTCAGTAGTATTTGTGTGAAAGAGTAACAAACATCCATCCAGACATTCAAACATTCGCCTTTATAATATTAGTAAGGAAGTAAGGATTAGCAAGATATGGCTAAAACCGAAAACGCAACAAAACGTGATGGATATTTTCAAAATATGTGAAGTCTGGAAAAGTCGAGTAAGCCTGTAAACTGCGTGTAGGCTACTTATCATATATAAACACATACGATACTGTACCTCATTAAAAAAAAAACTTCATTATGCTCCCGATGGCTCTGAAGAATATTTAAAAAAATTAATACACAGTTGGTGACCAAACAAGCAATTTCAAAACTTTCTGGTCTTTTGCCTATCAACTGTTTGCTTGTATCATGCGCTTGGTTGTGTCATAATTTATTTACAAACTTCCAGGACACATAAATCACTTTTTAATGCGTTAGTTATCTTATCTTAATTTTATTGTCTTTTGAGCCAGCGTGTACTTCGCGTTACGTGATTATTATGCAGGTCGAGATTCGGAGAATGATACGGAATACACAGAACGATACGTAAACATGAGCGTACGTTAAACATTAACGTTTAAGCGCCCATCTAGGGAATCAAATAACAGTAATTCTATAGAAATGAGGTCGGGTATTCGGCGACGGTAATAAATCACACCCAAGCCTTAGATTTGGCAATCTGTACGCTAATTGATGGCCTCAATTCATTAATAAATAATATTTCGTGAAATTAAACTGGTATTGTCCATTTCTACTGTTACCAACTAATGGTAGAAAATAATAAACTAAATAATATAATAATATACTAAAGGTAGAAATCAATCATAAATAAGGTCATCACTATCCCAGTACATTTAAATAATTTATCAGAATTCTATATTGGAAACTTAATTACGTCGTTTTCTTGTAAAATAGGTCTCTGTAAGTGTGAGTAAATAAATATAGTTGATTCATTATTTGGCTCCCAAGTGTATTATCATTAATAATTTATATGTGAACCTTCAAGAAGAGAGCATATTTTTACCCGACTGCGCCAGAAGGAGGGTTATGTATGTATGATTCTAGAGTACGTTATTCTAGAGTATGTATGTATGTATAATTGATTGGCACGCTCTGCAGAGGTGTCGTTAGATTCGTATTTACTGTGAGAGTGACACCGGGTATATCAAAATAAAAATATACAGAGAATCGCAGTCGGGCTTTTTAGTAATTTAAATTATATTCTACTTGTTTCCTGATAGGCTGGCAACGCATGTGCAAGGCCTCCGGTGCTGCAGATGTTCATGCGGCGGTGATCACTTACCACCAGGTGAGCCTCCTGCTCATTTGCCCCCTTTTTTCCATAAAAAATATCTGTAGGTAAAAGCTTTAGCGTGGGGATTAAAGTTCTTGAAAATTGGATAGGGTTTTTTTTGTGTGTATTCTTATTAAAACTAAAATGTAACTTCATAGAAAATCTATAATATCATTATTAGTTTTTAGTAATAAATATGTACATGTTAAAATTTACCCCATTCAATCATATCTTCAATTATTCCTGTCAACCGGTCCAGATATCTGTGGTCTACTTTGACTTCGATGTCGAGGATATCGTCTTTATCAAAATCTGGCACGTTGTCTTCAAGAGTGAAAATGAATGGCATCAAAAATAATCCAAACGACAGTCCATAATCTAAACACTGGAAATAGTCCTTTTCGAACTCCTTTCTTGGGTAAACCGATTCTATATCGATTTCAAAATATTTCAGATAGTTCTCCATTTCACTAAAGTACATTTCCTTTAGGTATTCCAAGTGATTTTTACGGAATTCCCTGTCAGTGGCACCAAAGATAAAATATATAAAGTCCACTATTGGTGAACCGTAGTACATCAGCTGATAGTCTACGGGGATTACATGGGTAATTTCACCATCCTAGAAAAAATTATTGAAATAAGACAAATTTTATTGATAAAAATATGCCAATTAACATTAAAATAAGAACTCCGCTAATTAAATAGTTTTCTAATTAAGGACTGAATAATTGACTAAAATAGAAAATTTTAAACAAGGCATAATTATATTGAGTCTAGATCTCGAAAATGAATTCCGTAATTTTATCCGCACTTTAATATTCCTAAGTATTCCATTTAAGCTTTTATACATCAAATTACTGTTAAAATTTTCGTCTTCAGGTAACTTAAAAACATAGCAAAAAGTAAATAATTGATATAATTACCTCAATTTTCATCAATATGTTATTCATTCTATAGTCTCCATGACATAGACACTTGACTTTTGTATTTCCCAATAAGTATTTTGAATAATTATCCAACAATTCAGGTAATTGTACATCCAATTTCTTTAAAAGTTCATGGTCTAACCCTTTCACTGAGTCTCTGTATGTTTTTCTGACGAAGCTTTTAAAATTATCGTCAAACTGAATTGATTGTTTCAATGTCTTAATTTTCTTTTCATAGTACTGAGGCCGCTTTTGTTCTATTGTAAAATTTAGTGCGTGGAACTTGGCAAGTTGTTGTATTGACAATTCAGCAAACTTCAATGGCATCACGTTCATCCTATAGACAGTACAAAAACCTTCTTTGGCAAGATTTGGTAGTATTATTGATTCTATATTACTTTCGTTATGGCACTTTACTGATTTGTATCTCTCTTCAAGGGGTATCGCTGCTTCGTTTTCTAGTTCCCTGAAAACTCTACTCAGATCCTTGTAGAAAAATAATTCTTTAGAATACAGGTCCGACATGTCAAGTACTTTCATATTTTCTTGCGAAATCACATTTTTTATAAAGATGTTAGTTTCTTTTTCGCCATTATCAGTTTTTCCTTTTATATCTACTTCGTAAAGTGATGCCATGTAATTACCACCTTCTGTAGAAACTGTTCTACTGAAGATTCTATATGATGAGTAGCCTTCTTTGTGCGCTATTTTATCTAGCGATTTTCTAAGTCGATCAGGTAGTTCATCGTTATTTAAACAAACAAATTTTGTAAGGTTCAAATCGCAACACTTGTTTTCGACTTGCATTTTAAAAACCACGCTGACACGAGAAATAAAATTATCTCAATCTGCTAACGACTTTTATAGGATGTCAGAAATAAGAGCTATTTCACACCAGAGTACTTTATTTATTTGTAATTGAAACGCAACCTTTTTTATGTAGATCTAATTTAAAATATGGGGTTAAAGTAAAGTATACACGTGTGTCTTATTTTGATCTCTTGATCAAGACAATTCTCTTTTTATCAACACTTCACTACAAAAGAGCTCACTTCTAATCACTATTGCATTAATTTCATATAGTTATTGGTAAACTTTCTGTATTTAAAATGACAAAATTAGTTTAACTAAGCAGAACAAGGTGATCAAATATTACATAGGAAGTCATAATGAATCACGAACAGGCAGGCACGTCAGGGGAAGTACCACGGATTTATAGAAGTAAAATGGAGATGTTTACTTTTGCGTTTCGTCTGGTGAGTGTTAGATAGCCAGGGCCCTTTATTTTAAAGGTTGATAATTAAATAACCACCCCTTTAGTCAAATTCAAATATCTTTATTCAATATAGAAGCATTATACTAACTTATTGATTGTCAAAAAACACTACTACCGGTCCGGAAAAAAAACCACCGACCTGAGAAGAACCGGCGAAAGAAACTCAACGGAGATGTTGTATCTATACGTATAAGATGACCATGGTTGGCAGTAGTTATTGAACATGACGTGAAATAAGATTTATTACAAAATAATTGATCGACATTTACCCCACATATTTTTATTAAACCAGTTCTAATTAATGAAACGAACCTTGGAATTATCTAATAAATTATATAATTAATTGGATTTCACAGAGAAAAGACATTATATTAACAATAAGCTAAGTAATGTTGATTGAACTTGAACTTTAATTGAACGATTTGAACAAAATCTATCATTTACCAAATTTTTAGTTCAATTTTATGATTAGATTTTATTAAGCTCTTATGGAATAGTGTGGCAATTGTCACTTTTCAGATCCAATAACAGACGTTTCACTTAAAGATGTCAAGCTTAAGAAAAGTATAATTTAATGAGCAGCCAACATATTGCGAATACATTCCAACTCCATATGTAACGTCGATATGTGCTGGATTAAAAAATATACTCGTACTTTCCATCAAAGTATTTTTTATGGGAAAGCCAGAACTCATTTGAGGAATGCCGTTGTCAAATTAAATTTACTGTGAATAAAGCCTGACAACTGGGTACGAGCAGAATAAAGCAAGGATCATGCTAACTATTGATATTACATATAATGACATGATAACGTACTGTTTGTTTGATTTGGGCTTTCTCATGGCTTTAAAAATTTAGATAAAATTCTTGGGCTTCTTAGTTAATTTTCTTATAATTTATTTCTCTGTAAACAAAAATATTATGACTTTTATCACGCATGGTATTCAGTCTCCACTTGAGGATATTTTTACAGTTTTATCGCTGAATCCATTAATTTTTTTTGTTTGTTTAACGTTAAATTGTTTTTAATTTATTAGCCGATAAAGTTCGATTTACTAGTATATAGTCTTTTCGGGAGAGGACTCAATGAAGGTTGCGGGATCTATTAAAAACATTCTTTCAACCCGTTTGAATGTTATCCTCGAGATATAATATATTTAGTCATAGATATTTAAAAAATACTAGCAACCCGCCCCGGCTCCGAACGGGTGCAATGCTGAATGTTTGATTTCGACATCGCATTAGGAACCTCTAAAATTATCAGTGTTTCTCTTACTATATTATGCATGAATTAAACATATAAACCGTCCACTTGAATCACTCTATTTAATCAAGAAAACCGCATCAAAATCCGTGGCGTAGTTTTAAAGATCTAAGCATACATAGGGACAGACAGACAGCGGGACGACTTTGTTTAATACTATCTAGTAATAGTTATGCATAGTGCATAACATTTATTCATTTCATTTCACCTTCAAGTTGCAGTTGATGTTCCATATCCTGTACATATGGAACATCAGTTTTTCAAAATGAGGTGAAGCACTAAAATCGATATAAAACAAACTAGGTCAAGCTTCGCCTTGCAGGTATTGCAAATGATTTTAATGGTGCCATATATACACGATGCCATTTGTATTTTGTTTTCATTTACATTGTGACGTCGATATTCGGCCGCGTGTTTGAATCCCACTAGACATTCCACCTTCCACGTGAAGAACATCAAATGGGTATAAATATAAAGCGTGAGATATGCATACCTCGACGTTAGCGTTAAATATCGTTGTTGTTATGAGATGATAATAAGATATAATATTCCGCTTCCTTTCGTTATCGGAATTTACTTATCCCAGTCAATAAATCAGTTGAATCCTATGTTACCCGTTAAGGTTCCAAACCTTAGTTAGGGAGACATAGTATCGTTCATATTTAACATTGACAACTGCCAGCCTATTTATTTCAAAGTACACGTAAGAGGTAAAACTTAGTTACGATTTTTTATCAAATTAGTTGGCGAAAGAATTTAAAGGTGCAAGAAACGTAATATTTGGGTCACGTGGTCACGTAATATACGGTTGGATCGTACGTGTGAAATGCGAAGTATCTGTGAAGTCTTTATGGGTTTTCTCTCCAAAGAGATCACGGAGCTTACAAATCAGTAAACCTTTCTTTTCCAGTTATATTCAGTTCCCATCGTTTATTATTAATATTTAGTAATAAGTCAACATCGATCAAAAACAGTTCTGGTTAGTAAAAATCTGTAAGGATCTAATTATTTTACTTAAAATCTACCTTTAAGTTCAATGAACCTGAAGTAAAATTATGGTTGTTATCTTATCCTTTAAACGAGCATTTCTTATATATATAAAATCGGAATCTCGGAAACGGCTCCAGCGATTTTCATGAAATTGAGTATGTGCGTAGATTCGGGGGTAAAAAATCCATCTAGCTAGGCATTTTTAGAAAATGTTCTTTTATCCCTGTTTTCCGGGAATGAAAAATATCATTCGAATATGACGGTAAATTTCACGGTAATCGGGCGGCCCCGAAACAGAAGGCAGTGGTTCGTGTCACGGTCATTTACACACTTATTTTTTTTTCCTTTTTTTTCGATTCCAGATCATTGTTTACTTTATTTTTTATTTTTTGTTGATCCAGATGATTTTTTTTGCCTTTTTTTTAAGTTCTTTTTTGAAAAACACCAGTTCATATTTTCTTATTATTACGTCGGTAAGATCGAATAATATTATGCAATTTACGGTGGTGGGGCCACGCAACAGCCTCGGCTGTTGCAAGAATGGGCTGGGTCGTCCGGGTAAGTACCACGACTTCACAGAAGACCGGCGTAAAGTGGAAGTATAATGCCTTCGCGTTTCGTCTGGTGAGTGAGGTGGCCGGAGCGCAATTTTCAAAAGGTTGTCAATGCATCTGCAACCATCGGGTGTAGCAGATGTCCATGGGCGGCAGTATTCACTTAACATTAGGTGAACCGTCTGCTCGTTTGGCAACTTACTTTCTTTTATGCGATAACGTGTTAAGTGAGCTGGCGGTTCACCTGATGTTAAGTGATAACCGCCAGCCATGGGCATTTGCAACACCCGTAGGGTCGCAGATCCGTTGCCACCTTTTACTAAAGTTGCCACCTTTACTCAAGTGGTCCCCGGCTACCTTGCTCACCAGACGAAACGCAGATGTATAACACATCTACTTCATGCCGGTCTTTTGTGGCCGCGGTTCTTCCCTGGACGGACCTGCCCATTCGTGCAACAGCGGAGAGTGTTGCGTAGCCCTACCACAGGAAACACTATTATTACTATAACACTCGTAATTTGAATAAGTTAGTAGTTAATTAAGTTACTGTCTTTAGTATTATGTACCATATTTGTTTTATAATCAGTAGGTATTGGGTTATTGTCTTTGAATTAATCTACCCGCTTTGTGTTAATCTTAGTCTAGTTTGTTATTTATAATTTTAACTTTTGGTATGTACTGAAAATCGGAAAATCGTACCGAGTACATACCTATTTGGTTTCATGTCTTAGATCAACATTGTTTTAATTGTTAACATAACTGTGTTTGTTGCTGAAACTAAATAAATATTCATTCATTCGTTCATTAATAGTTTAATTATATTTCACAAATTTGAAATTGTGTGGGTTTTCTTTGCTTTTATTAACTCACTAAAATTACAGCTATGTATTTTGAAACAAAAATAATTAGAGATGTATTTTTTCCGTAAATCATGCTCTCAAGGGTCAAGAGAAGATTCACTGGTAAATATTTAGGTTACAAAGGGGCCGGGAGTAACAATTTACCTTAACGGCGCACAGATTTCCTCGGAGCGTATGTTTTTTCTATAAGATTCGTTTGAAAACATTACTGCAATAACATCAATATGGATACTTTTGTTGGACGAGAAAGAAAGAATGAAAGAAAGAATGCGGTGAAGCAGTGTAGCTGAAAATGTTATGTTTGACCTTAGAATATGTTTGTATGTTTTTTTTTCTTTACTAAAAGGAGGCAAACGAGTATGCGGCCCTTACACCTTTGCCTACTTTAAAGAAAAATAAGAAGAAAAAAAACATAAATGAACAAAAGAATAGACCAAAGGAGTAATTTCTTACCGATTTAGTAATTTTATACCGATTTGATTCCAGGGCAGTTTATTTATTTATTTATTTAAGAATTTTCGCTGAACATTATTATAAACAGTTAATAACAGAAATCTTTTGTAATTTGATTCCAGGGCAGTTTATTTATTTAAGAATTTAAGAATTTTCGCTGAACATTATTATAAACAGTTAATTACAGAAATCTTTTGTAATTAACTGTTTATAATACTTCTGTAATTACAGAAATATTCTGTAATTAACTGTTTATAATTGAAATAACGACTCGATTGTGACTCCAACTGAGTTTGCATCACGGACTTAAATATATCGACCGCTGACCACTGAGCCACGAACGTTTTATCCAGGGTTAAATCATAAATTAAATAATACTCTCATATATAACCATTATCACTCCGAAGGCATATACGCGTTACACTGAAATCTCGCAGGAGGCATCACGTTGACCAAGGACGTAAACCAGTTGCTGTGTCCAATAAATCTCACGAAACAATCAGCTCAGTTGTTCAACTTTATTACGATCGTATAAATGGTGTTCGTAAATAACCCTAAATGAAAACACGTTAGTCTCCATAATCCTATTTATATAACACAGGCTCATATACTTCTTTAGTCACAATACGTGGAAACTCGTCCTTATTCATGCAACAAACTAAATCGTATATCAGATTAATATTCTAATCGATGTGGTTGCTTCTTCTTCTACCTAGCATTTATCCCAGCAATTGCCAGGGTCTGCTTAATCTAATTAATCGATGTCGTTGCTATAAAGCCACTTAAGTTTTATGATAGATTTTATTTTTGTACATATATTCTCAAAAAATTTCGGGCTGATATCTTCATGATGCAATAATCGTGAAAACTACCTACTTTCATTATTGAATTTTTAGCAATGCTTGATGCCATTTTATTGTGCATAATTTACAGCTTATGATATATAATAATTCAGAGAACTTTTGAAAAACATGTGTATAGTGCTAATCTCTGCACTTAAGATTAAACATTAAAATTTGTAAAAAGCAGTACGAAAAGTTTCTGTTTACGCCCTGTAGACATGAGTTCGATTCCCACAGCTGGCCACAAACTTTTCGTACTTTTTTCTAAAAACTTTAATAATTTTGGAAAACATGTTTTCGTGAACAACTTTATAGCTGTGCCATTTCTTTTACGTGCCCGACCTGCGACCAAAGATTGGCCGTAAATTTACTTTCGGCCGGTTTCAATATTATATTTGTAGATTTGGTTACTTCGTCAAAATTATAACCAAATCAAATCATTTATTAAATAAGAAATGTACATTTCATCTATCGATTGTCATTTTTATCCGCCACCGCTTCGTGATGTTAGGTTCCTCTAACGAAAGAAACAGGCGAAAGAAACACCGTAGTTAACCTCCATTGAGTTTTTTTTTCCACAAAATATAATAATGTTTATACAATGTATATATATACATATATTTAGTAACAGCTTGGAAGCGATCATCTTATTCCCAGGGGTTATTGTAAGTAATGCATTCATTTATTTTATAGTACCTCTTTTTAAAAAGTTTTTCTTCATAATTTTTAATATTTTTTTTTATATTTTTCTTACACCTGTTAATAGACGGACTTTTTGTTTACGGGAATTTGTACAAGCGTATACACCGTCCCATGAATGAGTTATGTACTCTGTGGAGTCTAGTAACAGGCGTTACAAGCTTCTATCTCCAGACATTAAATCTTCAGATAGATAGATTGGAAAGTGCATTTAGTAAGTTCAAATGATGACTCCGTGGCGCAGTTGCCAAGGTATTGGCTTCGGCGTCGGGGGTCGTGGGTTCGATTCCCACACGGGACAACTATTTGTGCGACCCACAGATAGCTGTTTCGCATCTGGGTGTTTGTCCTCGTGCAATTTATATTTGTAAAACGTCCTTACAGCACAGGTTAATGTTATCCTAAAGTGAGGGCAATGTTTTATAAAAAAAATAAAGATAAATGGATTATACTACCGTTTGCACTATAGGGTAAGAGCCTGTTTAAAATTTCTACCGGCACTGCAGTCCGTATTGCACAATTGCGATATAAAACACAGCCGCCACACTCACGGAATGGATGAGTTTCCGCTTTCCCCGGCGCTATTATGGACTGACTGACCTCGATACGTACAGCCAGAATTGTATAAGGCTCTATTAGACATATGAGCATTGGATGTTTAAAATTCAATAAACAAAACTAATAAATTGAAATAACTCCTCTTTTTGTATGTGAAAATTTGCCAAACCAGCAGACGGTTCACCTGATGGTAAATAAATACTGCCGCCCATGGACATCTGCTACACCCGAGGGTTACAGAGGCGTTGACAACTTTTTGATACTTGGGCTCCGGCTAGGTACTAATCAATTTCCCGTGTAATCAAATCAAACGTTCGAAATCCAGTTAGTGACAGATTACTCTGTCTAATTTTAATGACTAAATAAATACTAACGTAATAGAGTCGTACAAAATGAAACTGGAGTAATTTAATATTAGGATTTTTTTTTATCATTTATGGGCTAAAAACACATGGTTTAGCGGTGTTATGATTTTTTGTTTTGCAGTTATATTGCTTATCAAGGTTAGAACTTTTTTGACTCCATTACTTACTTTTTTTATTCTAATTTTAAATAGTTTTATAACGAAATAAAACACGTTAATATCCGAAAAGTTCTACCTATCCATCTATGATGTTCACTTGTAAAAAGAAATCATGATTTAAATGGTATTACATTAAAGTATTATTTAGGTACGACTTCTGAAGAAAATATAGAGAAAAGTCAATGTAACTGACTTTTCTCTATATTTTCTTAAAGATTTTAAGAAAATATTGAGAAATAATATGGTGCAATGCTATGGTAGGTAATTGATGAATTACATAATTTATAGAAACCTCAAATATAGCATGACAATGAACTATTAAAATTATACATTCTTAAAGTTGTACGTAGTACTAATATTGTAAAACAGGATACGAACAGAAATTTTCCGTATGCGAAGTCATACTTGCAAATTAAAATTTTTATATGACGATGGTTTAAAAATGATTTCAACATCTGTCGTAATCTTATCTGAATACGTTGTAATTTATCTTCTGTTTGCCTATTTTCTGCGACGAAAATAAATTGTGGCTACATTTCGTCCAATTCAATCATAAATATGAAAATTTTGTCTCAGGTTTGTTTCTTTCCATTTACAATACTTATTAGGCATTGGACATTCTGTTATACTCGTGATATAATATAATTTATAATAATATTTTCAATAAATAGTATTATATATTTTATTTTAGAAATTTTTAAACCTTAAGAATAAAAATCCCTGTGTTCGAAATTATTTTAAAGCAATAATAATTATAATTATGAAAATTTCAACAGCGTAATGGTTCTAACAACTGAAGGCAGCGGCGGAATCACTTAACATCAGGTGAACCACTCGTTTGCCAACTTTTTAACATCAAAAAAACCTGCCACGGCTTCGTCCAGACATTATCCAGAATATAACCATCACAGGCTCACCCGCTGAGCTAATCTGAGGATTGCCACAAATGTCATCAAAATTGGTCCAGCCGTTTTGCACTCTATAGGGAACGGACACGCATAGACTTTATGTATATGCAGGATGATTATAGTAATTCAATATCGTTCGCTTTGTCAGATAAAAGAATTGCAATTATGTGGATTTTATAGCTTTCGGCAAACCGTTGCGTGGGAATTTTCATGTTAAAAAAAATTATGAGTGTTAACAGACATCTACTGTTAACTGTCATGTGGCCTTATACCCTTCTTCCATTCATATGCGTATAAATACTGTTACTTCATTTGTTATACTTTTATTCCCAGGTGCGGCTATCGGCATGGCTGGAAATGGCCGGGCTAAAACCTAATAAAGGCGTGATGCTATCCGACTTACTTATCACGCGTCTAAACCTGAGGGCGGTGCGATGCGGGAATGCAATGACGAGACGCAACCGGAGCGCGAACAGAGCGAGTCGGTGCGCCGGCCTGGTGGCTGTCGTCATACTAGCGTCGCTGCCTTATAGCTCAGCGCTCAGCCTGCCGAGCGGGGACCCAGCGCCGGGCAGGTCACCCGGCCCGCCCGCTCGCGACCCCCAAGGTGACCTTCAAAACGCGCGACGCAAATACGCCGAACTGAACGCCGAACTAGACGCCGCCATCGACGCTGAAGGCTACGGCGAGACAACGACGGACTACTACGAAACAACTACGGCGGGCTACGCGGGCGGCGACAAGATCGTAGACGCGTGCGCCTACGCCAGGATCCCAAGCGACATTGGTGATATCGTTACGCTGAGTGAGAGTGACAGTGATGTCAATTTGACCGTTGGCCACGCGGTGTTCGACGCCGGCGAACTTGTGAGGGCTGTTGTTTATGACGGTAAGTTTATTATTAATCTTTAATGAGAATTGGGCGGCCAATCCAAATTCTACTGGCATTCATTTAGGCTACTGTTGAATTCATACCCCGTATTAAGTACACAGCAGCGGGAAAATTGAGTCCCGTCGGCAACCATGTCTAACAAACAACGGTAGATCATTGGAGATTAGGAAAACGTGACTTATGTAAAATTACTAGATTTTAAGTGGCCTCGAAAACCATAGGTACACGAAAAATTGCATATCTCTTTGGCTGTGTTATAATCTGAATAAAGATCTAATAAGTTAAAATTTTTTTCTGGCAATTTATTACTGATTTCATATGTAAACAGTCGTAAAATAATTTACGCTTTTTTATCCGAAACGATGTTTGTAAACTGTGTTATCCGTAGTGTAAATTTATTTTGCTCGAATAAATATTATAAACGTGGGGAAAATAACAGCGCTATAAATCTTTAACTGTTGGTTTGAGTTTCAAGTCACCGCTATAAAAAATCTGTTTTAAATGTACATACTAAATTGATTCTACAAAGTTTTGTACGTACCCATGTCGCTATGTTTAGCGCAACTTTTTTTTGATTTGTAATTTTCTGTTCGAGGATGTTTTTTGGATATCGTGTTGAAAATGTGTTTATTTTCTATAAAGGTGACTCATACAAAATTTTATTCTTAAGTTATAGAAATATAAGAAATACTGATGTTTTGTTCCTTTTCATCTACTTAGAACCTGGTCAATATAAAATTTGCACAGCAACTTTATCCTCAATTTTATTGTTTCTTCTTTCTTCGCACTGTCCATATAATCTGTTAACTGTAACTAACTGTGAGATAATCTCAAAATTCTAATCCATTAAAGGGAAACTTCTTGCTTAGTTTGTTATCAAGTCAGAGTGTACACTACTAATGAATGGATAGCCCCTAATTAGAACAAATCAAATAAGCCCAAAAGCATTGCCCACCGGTTTTATCTCAACATAAGTTGATCTATGTATTTCTATCAGACATCGATATCGATTCGCCTTTCACTAATGGATGGGGAATTTTGTCAGTAAAAGGGTTTTGTAGAGGAAAGGTTGAACAGTTTAAATAAGTTCTTCTGTATTTAAGGACAACCAAAGTAATTTTCAATCAGATATAACAGTATCGACCATCCAAAGTTCCCTGGTAGAATTAATCCTAATTCTAGATTATCTGTGTCAATATATTTAATATTGACACAGATAATCTAGAATTGGACATTTTTGTTACGATAGCTTTTGTTACCTTAGTTTTAAACGAAAGCGATCGTTTTTAGAGGCTAATAAAGGAAACAACACACTTATGTGTTACTGAAGGTGACATTATATGTACATATTAAATGAAGCGCTCTCGATGTCAAATAGTATGTCATATATATTTGATCAACCGTTTGATGCTCAAAGTTACGAGAATATGAAGATGTTCTGAAGTAATCAGTCAATTACTACTACAGCGATTCCCATGTTTATATGTATATAATTCTTCTGTACGTGTTTATTTTCACTGAACTCCTCCTAATGAAAATTATGTGTGTCTTCAAGTCGATTCGAGAAACGTTTAGATTCAAAATTCGGTCCATTAAACTTTTGTTTGTTTTGACGTGTTTACAGGACAACTTATGTAGGGTCCACTGGTATATTCATAAAATATTTTTCCAATCATCTCTGTCCCTTTTTTTATGTAAGAATAAGCGCGCTGGTGGTTCATCTGAGTGATAACCGCCGCACACGGACATCCCGTAGAGTTACAAATGCGTTGCCACATTTCAATATAGTTTTTTTTAAAAGGGGCAAACGAGAAAGACGTTCACCTGATGGTAAGTGATCACCGCCGCCCTTGAATACCTGCAACCCAAGGGCTTACGAATGCGTTGCCGGCCTTTTAGGAAAGAGTATGCTATCTTCTCAAGGGTACCCCAAGTCGTTACGGGATAGTTAGCCCCGGTTACCTCATTCAAGAGACGAAACGCCACACGTAATATATGTGCACCTACCTCACTTTTCTCTACACCACCATAAGGTTGACTGGTAGAGAATGCCATTGGCATTAAGTCCGCCTTTGTACAGTGTGTGCATAAAGATTAAATAAATAAATAAATAATCGCGGTTTTTCAAACGATTACAGCACACGCTCCCAATTTGCTTGCCATCGGTGATTTGAACTCGTCCAAACACGTGGATGTGGAAAGGCAACAGATTGACCGCAGACGCTCGGGGACTGAGGGAATCGCTAATGAGCAATCAGGTTTACGGTACACCCGATTGCATCCGAATATTCACTGAACCCGAGCTCGATATCCTGCGGTTATTAATTGCACCATAGATACCAGATGACGTGTATAGATCTGACGTACGTACAATGCAACGATCGTGTTGGTTTTGGGGAAAATAAAAATAGAATTGTAGTATTGGTATATGACGTTGCTGGGCTCACTGACGCTGATCTGTTAATAATACACCGTTATATTTTTTACATTTTTATGTTTCATCTTAAGTGATTTTTTAGAACTAAAGGAAATCATAATTCAATAATTATAACTATCTATGGAATCCAATTAGAGGGAATCCTCTATTATGTATTCATTATTAGCAAGAAAAAAACATGATCATTAATTTATGGTGCTTATGGAATCGCAGCCGACATTAAAGTTAGAAAAGAGTGTACAATTTCTCCATGCTATAAGAAGTGATGGAAAACCACAAATGTTTGTTTCGACGCTGAGGGAATTACTAATGACCAATCTTGGCTCTAGTGCGTGCTACCTTTGTATGCGTCAAGACATCCATTACTAACAAGCAGCCAGCTCATTAATTATGGATTGTGGAGTTTACAGGTTGTCAAACGTGAGCATTTGCATAATACCGTCGCTGATTTATGTTCACGGAAATGTGTCAGAGGCAGACGGTAAAGAAAGAAGGCGGGGAATGGAAAATTGTTGGTTTATCAAGTAATAAATGATTTATTTTTTGATGACTCCGTGGCGTAGTTGCCAAAGTATTGACCTCGGCGTCGGGGGTCGTGGGTTCGATTCCCACACGGCACAACTATTTGTGCGACCCAAAGGTAGATGTTTCGCATCTGGGTGTTTGTCCATGTGTTTATGTTTGTAAAACGTCCTTACAACACAGGATAATGTTATCCTAAAGTGAGGGCAGTGTTTTTTAAAAATATTAAAAAAATATATTTTGTATGAATGCGACAAACGGATGGTGAAATGCTTTTGCAGTCAGCGGTCAACGTCTAAAACTGCGCGCTGAATTCCAGTTTCTATCCAGCAATTTAGGAAAGACACATTGTGTATTACATAACTTTATATATAAAAGAGAATGTATTTGTGTAAGTATGTTCACCTAAAAATCGAGAACCGTTAGCCCAATTGATTTGAAACTGCAAATATAAAGATAGTTACGCGCTGGTGGCAGTGATTTGTCTTTTGAACCATTGGTCAAAATGATATGAAATTTGCTTACTTTTACTTTAGTACTGTATCTTATCCTTTAAACGAGCAATTCTTGTATATATGTATATGCGTAGATTCGAGGGCGAAAATTCAATCTGGCTAGGTTTCATTTTTAGAAAATGTCCTTTTATCCCTGTTTTCAGGGAATGAAAAATATCATTCGAATATGACGGTAAATTTCGCCGCAAAAAAATGTTATAATGGCTCGGTCGGTAATCGAGCGGCCCCAAAACAGACTGCCGCGGTTCATATCACGATCATTTACACACTTATTTTTTTTTACTTTTTTTCTATACTTTTATTTTTATTTTATTTTATGGCTTTCTTTATTTTTTTATTTCAAAATACATGATTTACCAAAAAAAAACCTCCTCCAGGTACTAGTTAAATTAAGTAAATTTTGAATCATAGATTCAATTTATTTGCATCTCATTATGTATAACAAAAATATCTCATTATCGCGTGTTCCTTGGTAAAACGACAAGTTTATATGTTTTTGTTCAAGATGGTAAAACCAAAAAAGTATCTATAGAATAGCAAAAATCATAAAGAATAAATTTTTTTTTATTAAAAATAGTACATTTTTTTAGGTAAAGCGAGGCGCACCGTGCACAAGCTAGTATCATATAATAACTACAATCCCCTCTGTACAGAGGAGGGACTTTTGCCCAGCATGGGACATGTATAGTTAACAACCTATAGTAACAATTTATATTAATTTTAATATAATTACGGGGTTGCTTTGTGCCGGGGAATTTATATTTATGAAACCTCCCAGATACGAAATAAGCACAACTTTGAACAAGTACTCACGGCAACCACAACGTTGTCTCTGTTGACATGGACAAAATGCGAAATTACGCTGCGCAAATCTGCTAAATTCATTCGCGTTTTCAAACGACCCCGTAACGTTTCTTGGCCCCCGAAGCACGAAAGTGTAATATTACAGCGGAATAGTTATGAAATTAATTTACAACGTACGTGAAGCAAAATTCGCCAGCTATTTGAAACAATAAACAAAGGTCGCCCAGAGATACATGACGCGGAGCCCCGTATAATACAATTTACCTGTGTCATACAATACAATGTAGCCGTGCCTCACACATCAAATATGAATCCGTACACGAATTAAAAGAGATAGGTTAAAATTGTTTAAGTACTTTAAAATGCATTGCTTGTGTAATATTACGATTGTAGTAAAGGTATTTAAGACTTTCTAGCTAAGTCGACGGCAATTTAAGTGTTCACAATACCTGTGAGGAAATTTATTCATCATCACCATCACCCTCATGGAGATGATATAATTTTCAAGAAGTCGATTAAGATGCATTACTAATGTGGCACAATTAAGCAATGGTAGAAGTAAATTTAAACGTTCCGTTAAATATAACAGCTCCAATTATTCGCAAAGGGTCTCTTTAGGGTTTCCATAAGCGATCCACGAAATGCTTTCAGCGTATTAAACGGAATTAAACAGATTATGCTAACGAAGGTGACTCTCTCGAAAGCCCCGCTTTAATGTCAAAGCCAAAGTGAAAGTCAAAATCGCTTTACGCGCGGCTTTAGCTATGGCCAAGTCTACGAGGGCTATTTTTGCTAATTGGAAAATGTGTACCGATGCCATTTTAGGAGATTTCCACAAGGATTTCCTTTTTGTCGTTGTGTGTCAAAAGGCAAGAACTCCCATATTTTTAGGGTTCCGTACCTAAAAGGTAAAACACCTACTACTAAGGACCCTATTACTAAGACTCCGTTGTCTGTCTATCTGACATACAGCGGAGTCTTAGTAATAGGGTCCCGTTTTACCCTTTGCGTACGGAACCCTAAAAAATACCTTCCATATTGTATAATTCCTACAGTAATAAACGGGAAATTCCAGGGTAATCTATCAACGTAAGTAGATTACAGCCGCCTTAATCGAGAAACTACACAAAGGACTTTGAAAATCGAATCCCTTTGATCCTTTGTGTCCGAGCGTATCGATAGACAAATAGTTAGATGATTTCGTTGGTGATTAGAAATCTAAACAATCTTAAAAGTATATATAAAATTACTGTCTTTATATATGTTATTCTTGTGTACGTGTGTATGTCACTGAACTCCTCCTAAACGGCTGGACCGATTTTAATGCAATTTTTTGTGTGTCTTGAGATGGATTCGAGAATGCTTAAGATTCGGATTTAAGTCGTGTGTACAGGACAACGTCTGTCAGGTCCGCTTGTATTTATACATCATTTGTAGCAGTCCTACTGCTGTACTAAAGGCTCTCGGACCTATGACGGTTTACTCCAGATTGACAAACCTTACATATCTTTGAAATACTACATGTATTATGGTTTAGGGCCTCCACACTAAGACCTGTTATTGACGACTTCATCGCTTCATCGCTATCGGTACCTTTAGGATGACCACATTGACTCTAAGGTATTTCGGCTGTAATACTTATTGAATATTGTTCTTTCATTATAAAATAAAATATTAAGTGTAACGTTAAAGTAAGTTTTTTATGACGTTTACTTTTGTTTCTCTTGCGGACAGGGATATTTCATGTAAATATTTATACATACCGTTTTAATTTTGTTGCATTATTACTCGATGGCCCAAAAAGTTAGGAATGAAAACACAAGTGATAAATAGAGAGAAAGTAATAAAACGACAATAGTATATTAAATACACGATATTAAAAGTATTTTTTTTGATATCGTGTATTTAATATACTACGATCTACACTACATGTAACGTGAAAATATGTCACTGAAATTATTTTATGACATATTTATTACAGTCGTTTATTCTCTTCAGTCAGTTTCTACGGTGTCTTCGGCATTAGGTACAGACGGAAAAGTTGAGCCGTAAATTTCCCATAATTTAAGAAACCCGTGTCGGTTGCTCGCAACACTTTTGTCACGAACCAACTTTTGCGTGATTGTGGAAACTCCTTCAAAGTTAGCTGCTTTAAGATTCTATCTTGCTATGACTGCAACTTGCATATATTACTCAGTATGCATATTTATGCTTCATTTTTTTAAGTGCTACTCCTTGCATTCAAGATGGATCTTAAAACGTAAATATGTAGATAAATGGACAAAACCTTTCAGCGTTGCGAGATTCGTACCTACGCCTTCCGGGTAATGCGCCCAGAAATTTAGCAACTGCGATTGTACCAATTAAGTGAATTTTTGTAGACAAAAATGGATAAAATATATGGAATTCCATTATATCTATAAAGAAACAAGTTTCAGATTTTTTTCTAATGTAAGAAGATGGCAAGCGACCTGGTGGTTCACATGGTGTTAAGTGATAACCGATGCCCATGGATACTCGCAACACCCGTAGGGTTGCAGATGCGTTGCCATCTTTTACTAAAGTAGACTCCGGATAACTCCCTCACTACACGAAACGCAAAGGTATTACGCCGGTCTACTGTGCGGTTGGCCCCGATTTTTTTTTTTGGGCTGGATGAGCCACTGTTGGCCTTAGGGGCCTTTACAGTTCCGACGGGCTTGAGGTGGCCTGGCGCACGTGGCACCTAGCCTGAACTTCGGCGTATTATTTTTACGCGTTATGGTGACTAAGCTCGAGGGCTCCCGGGGGAGCCTCGGCTCGGGCCGTCACGCTATTATTATTACCGGTTTGGGAGGCCGCCAAGCTCTTAGGGCGCTTTGGCGGGCGCTCCATGGAGTGATCAGGCTCAAGGGTCCCTCGGCTTGGGCTGTCACTCAACACGCGTTTAGCATTCCGATTCGGTAGCTATTATCTGACTGGGGAAAATTATCTGACTGGGGAATTATCTGACTGGGAGTTGGCCCCGAACGGACCTGTCCCGCAATGCAGAAGTTCTCGTAATTCCACTCTTTATTTTACACTATAATCATTTCGTTTCTTGTCCTTTCTGGTCGCACCACGCATCCATCTCAATATTTGCATCTCTGCCACATGCATTTTTCTTTCATTCGTCTCTTTTGCCGCCCAACATTCAGGTCCATACATCATGACAGGTGTTACCACCGTCTTGTAAATCTTCCCTTTGAGTTTTAGGGGCATTTACGGGTCACCTGAAACTCTTGAGACCTGTCGCCATTTCACCCAGCCTGCCATTTCTGCTCATCCTCATATACAAATTTTGAATTTTGCAAGAAGTGAAATATGCAATTTTAGTACCATCCATATACATTTTTAATTGTTTTCATGATGTATCCGACTTTAGAGGAGGTATACGGTATCTTACAAATATTACAATATTATCATTGCGCTTGAAAATCCACTCAACTGAAAACGGCTACTATAATGAACTTATAGAGTAATAAACGGGCCGACGACGGTTTCACAGTTTACGCTGCAAGGTATGCACTGTTCTACCCAATAAATAATATTGTTACGTGTTAGGGTTCGAAGGATTTGGAGAGAAAGACCTGCGAACTCTTTTGAAGACTTTATTCACAAGCACTAGGTCCAAACACTAAGCACTAACGATGGCCTAGGTTCTAGCCAAGTCGTTTTGCTGGTATCACTCTTGATCACTGTTCTTTGAGTGGTTTTACTGGTTGACGCTAGATGGCGCTAGTGTCTTTGTACTTTGTGTGTTCGTAACAATATTTATTGCATCTAATATGTATTAGTGGTTATTACTGTATTAAGTCAGTTATTCTTATCCCCATAGAAGAAGCATCGCCCAGTGTGAAGGCTGGGAAGAAATTAATCCATTACTAAACTTGCATTTTATTAAATGATATATTCTGTGTTCGAAATACCATTATATTATCAGGAAAATAGATGAAAAACAGTAAGAGGCTA